TAAATAAAAAATGTAGACTTTTGTAGCTGTCGCCAGTAGCCAAAAACCTTAATGCAATGGCAAGTCGTACTTTGGGTGGTATAGCGTGCCTTAGTTGAGTATCTTGCTTGGCGATAATAGGAGCAACTTTGTTCAATAAGTATTCAAAATCGAAGAAAGACATGCGCACAAAATTTTCAAATTCACCAGATGATTCAGAAAGTAGTTCTGTAATTTGTTTGTCCATAGTTTGTCTGCAAAAGAAAGTAATATTTTAAAATAAAATAAAAACGTGGTGCATATTGTACTCTTAAGCATCCAAATGCTTTAGGACATACATGTGTACTTTTTTTTGTTGTAGTCTAAAATAACATATTGAGGATTTAAGGATGAATTTTCATCCGTTTGGATTGCCGATTACTTAGGAATAAATTAGGCATACAATAATAAATTCATAAAAAATCATCAAATACAAATACTTACATCGTCCTGTTGCGGTGTATAGACGTCATCCACCATCTTCTCCGTTTTGAGTTCCTTTTTTTGGTTAGGTGATATAATCGTAAGACATTATAATATTGGTAGGCACATAAAGTAGCTAACGCAGTCACTTGAATCACGTCCATATTGAAGTAGACGTAGCGGGCGACTGAATAAAATCGAGAGTGTGGATGACTACATTTCACTCGCCGAGAATCGCGCGCGAGGCGAGGCGATTGGCGGGGCGAGAGGCCTCGCGAGAGTCTGGATGGGCTTTTATAACTTCTGTTCACTTTTATTGTCTATTTACTCTAGTGAGATTATTTCTTTTTCTAACGAATGACTAGTCATTATCATTGATATTTTAAATTTAGTGCCTCGTAGTTAAGCATTGTTATTTTAGCAATAGAAATGAATGTGACTGTCGGTTACGCGTATTATGCGGTTCGTTTATTTAGGCGGATCAGCTAGAAACCCCGAGGCCGTTTAATTAATAGGTTGCAGAATACCTGTGCAGTCGCTTTGAACAATGCAACCTGACTAATTATCCACGCTCCGATTCTTTAAATTTGAAACTTATGAAATCACATTACAAGTTGTAATCGCTCGCACATATTGCTCAGTAACGCGCTCCTCAAGACTACTTTTACGTGGAATTTGTTTTGCGAAGTTTTTTTCTGAAAGTTTAATTGCCGCTCGTCGGAAAGGAGAGAGATAAAAGACGATGTTGAAGAGGGAGCAACATCGAATGAGGCATTCCATAGCTTCGGTAGACTTTATTAAAAGAAGCGGATGTAGGGGTAAGTATTTTAAGAGGATCTCGACGCGAGCCGATTGAAATAAAGGAAATTATTAAAAGCTCTCTCGTGATAAAAACTCCATAGACGGAAGTTACTCCAACTATGGTTTTATAAAGCGTCGGACGCTCATATCGCGTTACATTATGTAGTAATAAGTCGGTGATGCGTGCTAAGGTTTTAACATTTTCCGAAGTGGAAACTTATATAAGCTGTGGTCGTCGGATGAATAATAATGCGGGGCGCGTAACCGATTACGATTCTAACGTAATTACCAACGGTTTGATGTACAGTTTGGTGGAGGTGTGAGTTTTACGAGACGCGCTGTAGATTAATTATTTTCTAATGTGTTCGCCGACATCGGACGCAAAAAGCGTTTAAGTTCACACGCGACAACGGATTAAGAACGACATACGACGCTGCGTGCGTTACCGTACTATTGTTTTGAAATTCGAATCGAACGTGACGTCATACAAACGTTAATTTCTGAGAATGGTACACCTGTATATTTTAAAAAGAATAGAACACGTGAACTATATGTAACTGTCATGGTAGCTAAGCTGAAGAATTTTCATACTTTCATTCAAACGTTGTTATTTGGAGCGTGAAACTATTTTACGAAACATGCAAAATAAGTAACAATCTCAAGCATTAGTTACGCTGTTGCTTAGTCTACTTTGTTCCACAATAAAGACGCGTGTTTCTTCACTTAACGACACAAATACATTAATCAGGTACTGAGTGCCGGAGCTTTTATGTATGTTTGAGCTCGCTTTGAATGTTTAAAGATTCGAAACAACACATAACGTTTGTTTAGTTAATTCTTTACGAGTTAATGACTACAATACATCATACCAATGGAACTTACTTTACTGCTGAACCAGAGGTCTTAGTTTCGATTCCCATCTATATTTTTTATGTATTTAGAAATATATAAGTATGTTTATCAGCTGTTTGGTTACAATATCGCAAGCTCCGCCTGTTTTAGGATCAGACGACTGTGTGTGAAATGACAATGTGTCAAGTTATTATTGTTATACCGTACACACATTTACAATGAAAGATCCCTAAGTCAGAATGAACTTTACGCACCGTTGCGTTGTAGGATAGTTAATATAAAAACCTTAGTATGAGCATTCATTTTTAATTATCGTATAATTAAGTAAAATCACAGTCTCACGGTAACTAATAATAAAACTAGATTATTTTGTGCTAGTTATGCTGTGGAAACGCTTTCCGGAAACATTATTAACACGCAGGTTTGTGTTATATATAGGGCTAAGTATATTACACATTTGTTTTTATATACATACTTAAAATTATTGTGTAATACTTGTTATTTTTTTGTTTTTTTAGCAGTTACTGAGTTAAATACATATCCTGCATATGAATTTATTAATTTCAGTTAGTTATTATTAATCAATTGAATAATTATTTATTTATCTAATTTTGTAACAAAATATGTAGTTTCAAACATAGAACACAATACCGTCTATGAGTAATAACATGCAATACGGACCTCAAAGAATCTATAAAAAAGTATGGTTCACGGTCAGCGCTGTGTAATAAGGTGTGCGCGCGCGCTTGGCGGGGCGGCAGAGCGTTGGCGGGCCCCGCGCATGCGCGGAAGTACACTTTGACATTTGCGCTCTCTCCACACCAGCATAAGCAGGTGTTCTGTGTACAAATATCGAACTGCATATATTTTTTTTGCATTTGCTATAGCGGTCTTGAAACTTTGTTGAATGAGTCCGTCCATGCTGACGTGGGGGTAAACACCCTTGACATTATGAACAACTATCTTTGAGGTTTTTTCTATTGATGGTGTAAACGGGCGCATTAAGTATGAAGACTCGCTCATAATCCGGTCGCTTCTACATGTAACAGATATCCGTACTTGTTGATTAAAGGGTCCCGAGTCAAGCATTACAATAAGACCATAAAAAGTTGTGATTTAAAAACTAAATTGTTTAAGAGTGAAATAAATGAAATCCCACCGCTTCGAGAGCGTTTGAATACAAATGAGATTTCTTTTCGGAGTGAGCCATCTCTTTCTAAACGCTGCATGATAAATCGTTTCTATGCGTCGTTAACGCGCAAGCCGCTTTATTTGTAATTTCACTGTTCGACGTTGTCAGTTATATTAATATGGTCATGACCTATTATCATATGGGTGAAATCTCCCAACGAGCCTAGCACCGATTTGTTTCACGAGGGATCAGATAAACTTCGGATGCACTTGCGTTTAAAATTACTTTGAAGGGTTTCTGTTACGAGTGACCCCGTTAGCGGCCACTGCGCACTGAACTCAACGCTAAGTTTCAAAATATTGTGATGGTGGCATTATTGACAATTCGATGAGTAAATGTCAAATTCGAAAATCGAATGACTGTTATGGTCTTGGAGCCGTTCACCTGCCGCGCTAGTCACGAGCCAGCCTGCGGAACGCTCTATATACTAACACATCACGCGGTACATATTTATTCGTGCGAGCGATATGCGTTGTAAATAGGCGCTTCTTCTTCGCCCGACTATGACCTCATTGTGAGAAAAAAGACGTCTAAACGATAATGCTATGGCAGGTTGTATTATTCAAACGAAGTGCATTCAAGTGAATTAGAATCTGTAAGTAATTTAGTGTTTGTCCGCAGGATTTTAGTTTTAATGACATCTGGAATTGTAACATGTGTGATATTTCGACACCCTACATGTAAAGCACATTGCCTAAAATTATCGATGTAAACAACAGCAGCTTAAACTGCCACTTTGAAATTTGATAGATAACCATTTCGCATGTCGCTTTCGCTCAATTGATCGCTTGTCAACACGAGCCTTGAAATAGAGAGCTCTATGTTATTTAAACAGGAAGCTTCAATTTAGCGCCAATTCATATGGAATTATAGCGGCAGTCACCTAACCGGACGTACATTCACTATCCGAAAAAGTTTTAAATTTCGTCTGTGTTCAATCTACCTGTATTTTCATTTAGTAACCAAATGTCACGTTTTCTCCAGATGGTCAGAGCTTGTGCAAGCGGCCGAGCTTAGGAGCGCTTGTTTGCTTAAACATTACGAGACGGTACGACATTTGAAGCGGACCGCTAAATAAAATACAAATAGCACTCGAAATCTCTGGGTCTACACGCGGCCTGTGTAAACCATAGACAATTGACGCCAGCGAAATAACCGTAACTAAGGTCCAATTAAGACGTCCGTTATCCTTGGAATCGAGATAGATCTAGTCGAGATCTGTAAATAAATAACATATAATTACAATATCGAATCACGATCCCGACCGGCCTCCGAGCTCTAATCGACGGTGAAGATGAGAACGTAGCCACAACGAAGGCTAACTACAGCACATCTTGTACGACTAGCCGTACAGAGCGACTTCATAATTAATTAAAAATGAACCATTGAACGCTGTAATCCTCCCACGCGGTCGCTCGTTAAACCATCAAGTATTCTTATCGTCATCGCTTCTGTCAAATTTGAATATAGAATCCCTTAATTTCTTTTTTACTATTATTTACAGCGAATGGGATGCTTATGCTGGTCTCCGCGTGGATTATTGGAATTTGAACGTCTCTAACATCCATAGCGTTGATTTATTGATGTAGGGTTGCTACTTAATGCTTCTTTTACGACCTATTGATTTTACTGTTACCTACAAAATGAATGAGGTGTTGTTTGTTTACTATTTATGTACCTATGTAATGTGTAGAAGAATGGTTAGGATACTCACCGGCCATGTGAAGTCGAACGGGAACACAATAGGATTGCTAAATCCTTCCACGTGGAGGTTGGGTACATCCAGTGAGTTGCCACCCAACACTGGTGTCGTGATGTCACCGAAAGTACACGGTGACGTTGTGTCGATATTAGCTTGATAAATCTTGAGGCACACTCGAAATTTAGTCCTGCACGGCGCCAAACACGGCGCGTCACTATTTGAGGAACCATCACAGCACTGCCCACTACTTAACCTACCCAATGAGTTCGTAAAACTTTTTATCCTAAGTTCGAAGGATCCAGACGTCAGCACCTGAAAAGGAGAAAACAAACATTGTAAGTAATGTCAATTCAAGGTAAAAGAAACACGAAGGATGAGTCAATATATCAGTATCAAAATGACAATACAAACAGACTGGTAGTATAGCTTTTAACGCCCCAAAGATGTAATCCTCAAACAAAACTATTTGCACAACTGTCCGTTCGATCGATCCCGTTGAGACATTAACGGTTTTACTGGACAAACTATGTAGGTCGTTCAAAAATGGGGTTGTAAGCAACAACGCGTGTGGGGTGAAAAGTGTGGCACCCCTAGCTGAATTGGATTTGGAACGTCAGTGACGAAATAATAGACTTTTTTTAAATCGAACTGTTAAATATCGATGCCCCCTGCTTTGTTTTAAACGATCATAGTTTAGACTACCGATTCTGGTGAAAAACATTGGATATTTCGAAATGCGATGATGGATAAGTTGACGTCAACGAATCGATATGAATTCCCCTGAGTTTTTTTTGTACTACTATATAAATAATAATAACTCGTTTAGCCCTCCAGGGTGCGCAACCCTTGCATTAAGAAGAATGCAGTTGCTTGCACTATATAAGCAGGGTCAACAAGTTTAAAGACTATTGAAAGGGAGAATGGAAGCATTCATTCTGCTCTTTAAAACATGTTTCAAGCTATTTTACGCGAACCTTTTAGTACCTAATGATTATAATTACAAATAACGTAAGTATAAGAAAAATGTAAATTCGTAAATTTAAATATTTTAAATTTAGTGGTTACTTCAACTTAAGTCCAAAGATGTCCTGTTTTATATGGCATCGGAAGGAAGTGGTACCTACGTATTAAATTATGGCGGTCATGTCTTGACAAATCGTTACCGGCGACTTTAATACTATGTTGTGCAGGCGCTTAGTTTAAAAAAAAACATTTCCTGCACGTTCGTTCTAATTGATTATTTATTTAGCTGGCAACATTAGAATAATAAATAACATTCGTAAAAGTTTACTATGGCTCTCATTAAAACTTGTCGCGATTAGAATCATTAAATAAAGTCATTAATTGTATGAGGATGTGTGTTTATAATCTTTTTTTTATTATATAACATAATAAGTCTAAGTATATAAATAGTTTTGGTGGATAAATCATTTGAAACTTATAATGGGAACTATTTATAAAGATAAAGTCAATAAATAAGTGTTAAATTCCTTACAAGTTGTAATATAATCTGTCTAAGAGTTCTTGCACAGCATTGTAATAAAATGATCATAACTACATTTAGAAGCTTTTCTAATTAGCTTCCCACGAAGTTATGACCTTCAGTTTAAATTATCAAAAGATTACAAGCGACAGACAGAACAATGATCTATTCAAAGTTGAGTCTTATCTAATACAGACAGTGTCTATCAAGATGTCAAAATTTAGCCCCCGTTCAAACAAAACGCGGTAAAAAAATACACCAGATTTCAACAAACTTCCTGCGGGTGTAACAGGGGTTAAAATTATTATTATCCGAGCACGCGAAACATAACACCCTCTCTTTCTTTTAGCAGAAGAACAAAGAGGACGGAGTGCCCTCACTTCACACATCCACGTGGTTGTCAGGTAGGAGCGGAACCTAAAAAATGCTCCAAAAAAGATACGCACCACTCTAAACATCCCCTTTTTTGTTGATCTATTGTTTATGAAACGAGTTATAGTAGCGTACATTCAGATTGATTGTGGCTTACTGTTTTATTTAACCTTATTTATAACTCTCAATTTAAAAGACATAAATAATCAGCTTATCAATGAGTGACTGAAATACGTTAAAAAAAAGGGTGATTTAAAAAACGAACGGGATGCGAGCGGTCGGAGGCTAGCCCGAGGCTGCCAACAAGCTAATAATTAAATAATACTTACGCGACTACCGAATAACTTATAATGTTTTATTATGTCTTCAGGGGATTTGACGCGATGACTGTCCGATGGATATTCCTTAGCGTGTATTTTAAGTGATGGTAAACTTCAAAAGTGATTTGTCGCGGCTATTATTTATCTTTTCTGATAGCGCTGACTCGTTAAAAACAGCATTTTATTTAACATTATGAATAGTGTTGCCAGCACTAAACTTACTAGTAAAGACCATAGTAGCTTGCTTGCTACGGTGCAACCGTTCTTGTATGTATAAGATCAACCATCTTCAATGTATGTCAGTAATCAATTACATAGTGTCTAATTTATTTAACATATGACTACAAGTTAATGCGTTCGACGATAGTCGTGAACATCATTTTTTTTTCACGTTGAAAGGAAAGCGGTACGTACGTAACATTAATTGCATGGAGCATCAACGAAACCGTCGTAAATTGATTTGAATACCTAATCGACAATCTGGTAATAACATTTCAGTTAATATATCTACTTACATGTATTTTTTTTCTTATTTAATTGCGGCCGAATCACGATCTGGACATATTTTTGAATAGAATTACTCTGTCTAGATGATTTATATCTTTAAACATTTACTGAGCGGATACGATTACTTACTGTACGTTTCAGAGGCAAGTTCATTTTATACTCGCTTATTGGAAGAGATAATAAGGAGTAATAATAATGTGAACGCTATTGTATGTAAGTAAGGCAGCGTAAACACTCGTTTAAGCAGGTTGAACGTAGTCTAAAAATATCACAAATAATGAAACACAGGGGAATGTTTTTCATCTCTCCCGTTATACACACGCGAAATGTGTTAAAATAAACACCCAAACAGTCTTTTAATAGCGCGACGATGTGGCCAGTGCATCAATTCGCAATTCCAAATTTAATTTGGAATCATCAAGTATGATTTATTTTTCCATTTAAGTTTTTTAAACGTACATATGCCATAAAGATGTTGTGTTTAGTTATGACACGTGGCTTGCAAGATCGAAATAATTGTACAAGAAAAAACTGTTGTTCTATTTGTCCTTTAGCAGCTGATGCCAATGCTGACTAATTGGTTTTCTGACCTGACTTTTCACAGAACTTAAGTTTCAATATTGGTATTGTGTCAAGGGGTACGCATTCCGGGCTGGCTCACAAAGGGCGTTCCGTTTCACGGAACGTCTTTAGAAGAAAATAAACGACGTCTTTTATAAAACATACTGATATTTAGTGGCGCGACAAATGTTGCGATCTTCTTTGTGTCGATTTTGCTTGCAGCTGTACTGACACAAAAGAAACAATCTACGGTTGGAATTTGAAATTAGCGGGGATTAGAATCATGAGTGGAGTGTAATAGGCCCTGTAGATTGCCTGAACGTATATGGAAAGCGCATAATAAGGTATTTTGCGGTTATTTAAGCGTGTTGCACAAGCGAAGTGAGATTTCGTGCGTTGGTGTACGGAGCGCTATGATAGAAACGCTGTATTCTCTATATCGTAAACCAGATCTTCTTGCTTGAATTGTTATTGGGATTATACGTGTGAACCTCTCACTGTGGTGATTGAATACGGAACTTATTAAAATACTTTCAAGTAAAAGCATTTTGTTCGACGACCAAATGAATATTACATTAATAATGGATAGTTTTGGTGCTTGTTATCTGATATGTGCTAAATTATGCGGGCGTAGTAAATTAACCAATTTGTAAAAATCATTTTGATGTAATGTTGAGTTCTTTCTATTAGATGATGGTTTGAAGTTATTTTCAATGTAACAGAGATCATCAATTGCACATCGTACTTTGTTGCAACGTTAACGGTATAAGACAGTCGACCACAGTTGCGTTTGGTTATAACTTTTATGTACACTTATATGCCGCAAATACCTAATGAAATACGTTTCTACCGCAATTTATTCTCATTAGATTTTTTCTTTTTTATTGAATTCAGACAATAGAAATCCCGACTATCACTTTGCTAACATTGTGTCTGAAACATTGTGCAACCTACACGATGCCAGCATCGCTGACACATTTACCCAATTCGGAATTTAATAATTTGCACTGGCAACACTACACAATAGAACCTTAAATTAGAAGGTTAGCTATTTGAATTTACTCGGCATCCTATAAATTTCGAAATTTGAATTAGGTAAATGAGCTTCGTACACGAATACACAAGGAACTCCATAGCACACATTATGACAATCGTTTATCGTGAAGCAATTTAATGCACAATATGATTTTAATAAATTTTTAATAAATTCACACAAGAAAACCAACCACTGCGTCAGTTTATAAAAAAATACATTTTTAATGGACGTCTCAGAGCATCCAGTTCGATGACATTGTGTAATCTGATCAATGGTCCTGGCGGCATGTTGGTTTTTTACAATTGACACTGGCCACCAATTAAACGTCCAATTCAGATTTTAGTGCAAAAAGTTATATTTGTAATGGCCATATATGATTGTAATGAAAAAATTAAAGACATACTAAGTCGATATTTTAGTGAAACCTTTCGGTGTCCATAAGCGGTATTCTGGTATTTCTTAAATTGCCCCATTACATATTCATCACAATGAGACAAAAACCACAATTTCACATAGTTAAGCTGTTAAAAACTCGGCGATTATACGGATTTCGTACAAAGTCTATTATAATTGACTCGGTTCTCATAGAACAAAACTGTTTTGGACAATGGACGAAATTATAACAGGGTTAAAAACCTACCGTTAAGGAGTTTCACATATTTAAATGGCTATTGCTACTAACATGACATATGACGATTAATTTGCTTTTGTTCAAATGTTGTGAGATTTTCTCGAAAGTTGTTACAGCAGCAGGTGGTTTGAATAAAACCTATTTTCGAAAATTGTTTTGTTTTTTTTTAAACTGTAACAACTATTCGTTGCACAAACTATTTTTCTTTTGTCTAAAATCAAATCGAATGAACTTGAGTCTTGTTTTTTCTATAATCTGTATTATAGACAGAACAAGACGCAAGTTGTTTGGATTGCTGTCATAGACTAATATAATAATGATTAAGTTATCGTTTTTATACTTTTTGGTGGCTAAACTATGCGTTTTAAAACACTTGCATTTGCTCTAGATTTATATCTAATACATATACTTGGTTTTATATAAAATAACATAAGACAATTATTTCTACCAAGACCACATTAAACCACATAAACGGTAGTTTAAGTTTTAATAGAACTAAATCAACACGACATATAACTCCAATTACAATTTGTTAGTCCGTTTGGTTGGTGTAAAGCAGATGTAATGAACTTTAAGAGTTCTCGTTAATGAATGCACCTGCTTGAGTGGGTTATGTTGGGGCGCCTTGAACGAAGTACAAAACTGTCTAGAAAAAGATTTCATATAAAGCTTAGAACGACTATACAACGAATAAATTTGATTTATTGTATTGATTATATCACAAATCGTAACGCAATCATACACGCACAAGTAACGTTCTATGCGAGGTATGACATGCAATGTCCTAGATATGCTACAGGTAGACGCCCAGCGTAGTCAAGAATACGTTATAGAATGTACCTAGTTGCAGTGTCGTACTTATTGCATTAAAATATAACTCCACAGATAACCATAGACAGCTAAAATAAGGATGCGATAATTTATAACCAACCCATCTGAATAATTTCTTAGAGATAAACAAGTTTAAAAATGGAAACGAACCCACATTCAGCGAATTATTTACTTATTTGAAATTGGAAATTATTATGTTGCGGTTTTCGGACAGACGTGTTTCCGATGCCGCTTCCGTTTAAAAACGGCAGTGTGCAACGATCACGGCGATCACGCGATACAATTTAAAGCTATCATATCAAAGACAGAATAATGCAACTGAATTAGCTACCGTCTTTCACGTGGGGGTAAAAACAGAAAAGGCCGGACTTCTAGCCCTGCGGATGTATGGAGTACAAAAGAATAAAGTTGAGTGATCGGTGGGGACAATTGCATCAATGTATGTTCGTCGTCACTAAGACGGGACCAGGGGCAAGACAAACCAGTCCTGGGCACTGGTGCGCAAAATACCGTTTTTTTTATGGAACAAACGACTTCATTCATAATGTATAATAGCACCTTGAAAACTCGCGAGCACACACACATTAAACTATAAATAAATAGATGGGATAGAATGGACAGTGTACATGTCAATGTGAGTAGACCCACAGTATTTAATTAAATCTGATTAAAGCTTCGATGGTCCAAAAAAGTGCACAAAGTATTACACGGATCGAAAGAAGTTGTTGTACTATGCCTGACCCACCGGTTGGTTGCGTACAAGGTTTAACAATATTTGTATGTAACTAAGTGCATGTGTTGGTGATATAAACGGTACATTGGCAAACATAGGTATCAGTGACTATTCGTTCACAGTGCGCACACGCATACGTTGGGGAATTGTTCCCCAGTTGGAAAATGACATCGGGGACCGGTATACTATGCGGGAGAACAAAAAAGTTCTAGTATCGATTTGTTTTTTAACATCAGGGTCTTACTGATGTTACGGTAGCACTTTTAAATTTGTCTGATTACGTTACACGGGATTAATATTAGCTATGTTTAGGAATTACGTATTTTAGATTACAGGTCGATTGAGTAAACCGCGTGTACCCTATCATTCCTATACCGATCGTTAGAGTGAATCATGCTAAGCTTTTCTTACGCTTTTAACATGTAACTCGTACATAAATAAACACGTATATACGCCCAGTGAACTGAAAGGCTACTTGAGATTGATTGATATACTTCCTTCGGACGTTAATGAGGCAAATAAAGAAGCTAATTAATTTCACGTTTATCGTCAAACTAACTCGCTTAGCGTATAATATAAAAGTGAAGCGATAAAAATTATGGCAGTTCGTTGAGTTCGCATGTTACCTTCTCAACCCTTGGTGTAAGATAAAGTAACCTTGACCGGTTCATAGGGCGATGACCTCACATTAATTTAGATATTTACAATCTGCCACCTTTTGTCATTTCGCTAAGCGCTTTCATCTACGGCGTATTGTTTATTTATGTCTGGTTTTATAGCTTTCGGCGCTTATTTTCCGTCGATTAGTGACGGGCAATAAACAGGCAAAGGGTTCTGTCGTGTAAACTAGACCGAACTATTAACCCTGCCCGAAATATCTCGCGCCTTAAGTCGTCTGGAAGAGTTATTCTTGTCGTTGGTGCATGCAGATCGTCGCGAATACGCCTTTCCAGAATCGAATCCACCGCAAAGCCTCGGAATGCATCTAATTTTAAAACGAAGAGGCTCGCGACCTAGCTGACCCCGCGCGCCGGTCGTATTAAAACCTGAACTTTCTTTATAACTATGTACTTATGTTTGCTCGGTAAACGTATCGGACACACACAAGCGCGTCTTCTAGCCGGCGTCTTGGGCCCGGTCACGACTCTGTTGAGCTCGCCTTAGATACACTACCCCTCGCTCCCGACTATCCAGGACGATCTGCTAGATCGACCGCCTTACCATACTTGTGGGAAAGTGACGATCGTATACAACAGAGCCGCTTACACCTACATTGGCCTGTTTGCATCGCTAGTTGTTTATGAGAAACGATGCGAACCGCGAGTTTTCGATTGGTTTACGCCGATGGGAAACGTAAACAAACTGGGATTCGCGGTTTTGGGTGTCGATATCAGTACCTGGGGCAGAAACCCTAGCAGGGCGATGAGCACCGCGGGGGCGCGCATGCTGGCGCGTCCGGGCTAGCGGCGCCGGGGCATACGTCGGGACCGAGTCCCGGCGGTCGTCAGCACTGGAAGGTAGATCCGCAGTAATCCATCACTTGCACACGTAATGCACTGAGTGTTTCACTGCTAGTCACACAGCACAAGTATCGTATTAAGATGTCACTAGTCGCTCATGGGATACGGCGAACCGGTCGCGAGTTGTTCACTACGTTCGAAACGCGCGCGTCGCGTGAAGTGGCGTACAAGAGCCTCAGTAGCGTGTTGTCGCGGCGGCGCGTGACGGCGGACTGAGGGCGGGCGGCGGCCGCGGTACGGGCTCCGCGCACCTGGCGGGTAGCGCGGTAGACTCCGAGAGATGGCGCTGCGCGGCGCATCTGCCGGTAGGCCCCCCGCCCGCACGCCTCGCCACCCGCACCGCACCCGCGCGCATCACCGCGCCACCCGACCAGAAAATACACGGAAAACAGCCCGAGCCCGCGTATGTACTTACTGCCAATGGACACGTGCCCCTCTGTAAAAACTTCTAAGATGAACCTATGCAGTTTCTTTTTAATTATTGATGATGAGATGCATGCCATCTTTTATTTTCAATATTTATTGTTGGTTTTAATGCTGGCTAAAGTTAAAACATTCATGAAGGTATTATAAGTCTTATATTTACCTACCTATACTGTAGGTACCTATACAGTATAGGTAGGTCAATATTGAAGTTTTAAGTATAGTCCCTAAGTACCTATTCAATTTTTTATTAGAAAATTTGTACCTCAACAATTTAACATGTGCCTACCTAAGAACAAAGTTAATTAATATCTATTATTTACTTAAGTAACAATTCGATTTTCGTGTTTGTTTTTGGGTATAGAATTACCTCAATTATTTTTTAAAGTCGAAACTTATTACTTTACCTTTTACTAGCTGGTACCTGCAAATTCGTTCGCGTTGAATTTGAAAAAACGCTGTCTTAGTGGATTCGGTTGCCGGGCCGGGCAAATTTTTATAGGGTTTTTCTCAGAGTAAAAATAGCCTAAGTGACTCCTAATATAGACAACTATCTAGAAGTAAAATATTATCAAAATCGGTCCAGCTGTTTAGAAGATTACTCGAACAAAAAGACAGATAGACAGATAAAAAAAACTGGTTTTTAGGCATATGTATCGTGCAAATAACCGTATGGGCATTAAAAACAATTATTTTGACATTACAAACAGACACTTCAATTTTATTTATTTGTATGTATAAAATCGTAACTAAAATGCTGGTGCATAGCGTGATGCCGTTTCCTTTACCGGATGCAAATTTTGTAAATCTCAATTATTTGCAGCTGTTTCTACCGATAAGCGAATGAAAAACATGAACATATTCATGGAAAAAAGCCTTAGGGCCAAGTGAATGATTTATTTAAAAAGTTTAGTATTCATTCATTCCCTCCAGTGGTAAACGTAAACGCCCGGTAGCGATGAACGATTGAAGTGATTATTTTAATTTGTCTTATTAGTTTTCTTAGCAGTCAATTTCTGATAAATTGTATTGATATGGTTAAAGTCAGTAGCTATTTTTTACTTCACTTAATTGAGTCAGGAAATGTTCGTCACAGTGCGTTTAAATTAAATCAATAGCTAAATTTACACAGATTATTTTTATAGCTTTCAATTATATTGTACATCGTAAATGTAACTTTAACTGAATTATTATTATTATTCATGAACCTTTTAAAGCACCAAACTAAGTGAACATTTCAATAAAATATATTTTGATATAAAGTGTAAGTACTTTGTGTAAGTGTAAGTGACAACATTTTGATTGATCTTGTTAATTTCATAGGTAGGTACGTAGTTGCTGTACGGGGTAACCAAGCAATGAATATAGGTATTTCATATAGCACATTGTTATAGGTTTTATAATATATATAATAATTACAATTTTTGCTTTCATGTGCGATGATATTCCTTACTGGCTGATGCTTATGACGGTAAAGTTTTACAGCTGCTTTAAAATATAATATTTCAAAATTAAAAAAATAATTGAATAGGTTATTAGCCATTATTATTATTATTTTCATCATTTCATTTACATATTTTACATATCTCCACTATTTTTGTTACTAAATATTTAGACGTAAATAAATATTAACAGTACCATTTTATTAAACATTTAAATCAATACATAGAATTAACAACATAAACCGCTCAAAACAATTGTCAATTTTCTTGTAACGTGTAACAGGGGCTTTATAGCCAGCATGTGATGTAAAATGACGATAGAAAGCACTATATCTAAAAGATAAATATCTTTTTAATAAGAATACCTACCCATGTTTAAGGCTAAAAAATCGAATACAAAACAATTGCCAGGTACTTAATATAACCAAACAATACATTGTCACTCGCGCTTTGCCAACCCTGCGCATTTTCTATAGGCTCCCAGACCTAAGTTACCGCCAAAAAAATTACACGTTAAAGTATTGTCCTACCAGAACATCTCCGATTCGTCTCCATGTCATTTTTAAAATGCGAAACTAATATTATAAAGGGAGGTCACATATTTAAGTGAGGAATAAAGGATACGACTTTAAGGTTATACAGATATATATATGTATATGTATATACTATACAGGCTGCGGTTCTGTACTGATATCAATGTTGCCAGTAAAATGAAGAAACGATTGCACGTGGTGATGTGAATGTTGTGAGATGAAGGTTGGTGTGACTAGGATGGAGAAGACAATAAATAAATATATTTTTTTATGTAATAGTGAAGAAGCGAGCGGCGGATCACGTGATGGTAAGTGGTTACCGCCACTTATGTATTCCTGTGCCTTAATAGATGCAAGAGCGTTGGGAATAAGGGATGTAAATAAATATTTTAGAGTGAATGACAGATTAAAAAGGAATAGGTTGTCGTAGCATGCACATGCAAAACGAAGGGAAGAGCAAAATGTTTTCAATTCATAGAAGTTGACGAGTACAAGAAAATAGCATAATCGGATGAACTGTTTGATAGATGATATAGCTAGAAAGAGAAAAGCAATTTATGACCATTTTAGATTAGATTAATTATATTGCACCAAGACCCGAAAACATTAGGAGTTAAGACAAGGATTGGCAGATGATTATGGATTTTTAAGTCAAGCCATCCACTTAAAATTTAAAAGGCGTAAGTGTTAACCCTACGCTGCGCACAATTAATAATGTCGGATACCTACTTCGTATTAGTAATAACCTAGTTATTATTGGTGGTTGAGGCCACGCCTATATATAACGTCCGTTCGTCTTTTTATTTAGTTCACACGTATTATAGGCAATTAGGCACCTCAGTAATCATGTTCGATGCGTAATTTCTGCGTACCTAATACATATATTATTTATTTTAGGGAGAAAAAAAAATTGTTTTTTTTATTATCTTTGTACGACCATTCGAAGAACTGACCTATCACATAAAGTTGCGTCATAATCCCTCTTAACATTATTTTTTAATATCGTTAGCCTTGATTTTATGGCCTTTTAACAGCTAATGTTTGATGTTCTATTTATTTCATTGTGTTTTATGATAGTTTCAACATCTGACAAAATACATTAGGGATAGTTCAGAGCCAGATGATAGTTCCTCGTCATGATACCGGAAATTCACGGCGCCTATTGAACTATTTAAAGAATTTAAAGATAGTGGCGTAATATTATAGTCAAAAGCATATTGACATAGCATTGTTTTAGCAAATATTTTTTCGATTTGGATGGGCCTGTTGATCTAGTGGTTAGTGATCCTAACTGCTGAATAAGACGTTGTGGGTTCGATTCCAACCACGGACAAATAATTGTGTGATGAACAGGATCATTTGTACTGTGTCCGCGTGTAATTTATCTATAATATATATGTATTTAGAAGTATATAAGTATGCTTATCAGCAGTCTGGTTACCGTAGCACAGGCTCTGCCTAGTTTGGGATCAGACGGCCGTGAGTAAGATGTGTGAGGTTATTATTATTATTAATTAATATCCTATAAAAGTTGGTTACTAAATTCTTATATAATTACAGTGTAGTAATAGCGGCATACAATTCATTTATTTAGTCCAGCTGTATGTACACACGGCCATTAATATTGAATATTATATATAAATTTTGTTCAATGGTAGTATGTATGTCCTGCATGTATACTTAACATAAATCATCAATTATTAAAACATCCATCACATCCAATACATTGTAGAACGGTACGTCGTTAATATGCATAATATGTTTTATAGAACAGACCAGATGTCCTAAAAGGTTACCAGCGCACTCAATGTTCGATTTTAAAAAGTGTATGTATTTTATGTATCTATAATTTTATATCCGTGGTAAAATTCGAAATGTGCATTCGAATAAAAAAAAACGAATATAAATTTTAAATTTAGAAATTCAAATTGTTTTTTTTTATTATTATTCATAATTGACAATTCAACACAGAGCAACACTAGGGTACTTTATCGAATGCAAAATTATTCAAAACAAAATTCGCACCACTTAAAGGCTATTAAAATCAACAACTGTTACGTGCTTTAGTGCACATCATACATTACTCAATTATACTAATTAAAGTTGCTAATGATCCTGGGAACACCACAGAGCCGACCGTCGTCATAAAGATTAGCCATAATGCGCAGACACACATAGCCTTAGTGCTTCAGTCGCTCGTTGAACACCTTTACATTGTTTTCTGATTTTAATAACATATCGTAAATATTTTATTGCGTACTAATTCAATGAGAGAGGTGACTTGATTGGGCAAAACCCGATTTTGAAAAGAATCAGTAAATTTTAATAATATTCTTTATTAATTTTTTTGGTATTTATTCACTAGTTTTTTCAGGTGCTCTTTGTTCGCGGTTTTTTTTTACCCAAATAGTGGTCTCAGTGTGTATTTTTTGTTATGGTGTATTAATATTAGGTTAGGGGTTGGCAATTCACTACTGATACTTGAAGTATGGAAAATGCTTCTCGGGTATTTTGGTATCTCGGCACC